GCCTTGTGATAGCCATGGTATTGGCAAAATTAGAAAGTCCAAAATCAGATATTTTTACACATGAACGATCGACTAGAACGTTCTGGGCTGCCAGGCCGCGATATATTATATTCTTATCAGACAAATAGTTCATACCCTGAAAGCAATATCAAGAGAAATAACGGCTAAGCCATTAAACCGATTTAGAAAGCGGAGCGAACAAAACTAATGCCGGCTATGTCCAAATCAATGTCGAATAGGCGAACATTAATGAGACTTGGCTTGTGTGAATTTAAGTACACAAATTAAGTACACAATTCAACGAATTCCGTGATGATGCGCAGCGAACAACTAAACTTGACCACATTCTCATGTTCGAGCTCACGCATTAAACTAACTTGGTTTTTAAAGTATTTGGTTTGCAGGGCGTGTAACTTCTTAATGACCACTTGCTCTTTGGGGTGATTCTTATCATAATATTCGATTTCGGCCCTATAAACGGTGCCATAACGGCCCTGGCAAAACATGTCCTCCTCAAATATGTAACTAACTATAAAAAAAATGTATTTGTTTGGATTTGGATACACACAAAACACATTTATATAAATACAAAAGAATTAAAGCCAGGTGTCGAAATTTAATTCGGTTTTATGTGTAGGTTGTAGTATTTTTTTGTTGCTTTATTTAGCGTTACGTATATTGCTCATCTCATATGTACTCACGTGTCATTTCATATGTAATCATTTCATGTTGACTCACGTTCTACAGTTTCGTAGACTTTTGATAGCATGCAAGTGTATATCATCGCCTATATCGTTCCAGGTGCTTTTCATATAATTGTATTTATCAGTTGGGTTAACCCAGCGGCTTTAGAATGCAGCCATCGGTGGATTGCGATCGATGAAGTCAGTCTGGTAGCGTGAGATGATCTCATAGCTTATGGTCGAAAATGCCCAATCTTGCGTTCTCAAGTCCTGCTTGGCTGCCTCCAAGTTGTCAAAGTAGCTTATTGATAACTAAGGTAAGCTTCATAGGTAGAAATGATAAATCAAAGGTTTTGCAAAATTAATCTATATATTCAGGGATACTCACTTGAACTGATTGTAGGCACGCGGATAGTCGGGATCGCCTATTTTACGTCGAGGGCAAACTTCTCGGGGTCATATGTAGAAACATACAGATTCGCACAGCGTGTGGTTGTGATTTATTCTATTAACATTCAGATAGTGTAAGACAGCAGGCAAAACGTATAGAGGCTAATATATTATTATGTCCTTGCTCGAGCTAAGCAAATTATATTTACATGTTTTTGTTTCACAACTGCCTGTGAGGTGGATATTCCGATTTTATATTGTATATATATGACTGAAGAATATATATGGCAAGTTTCATCAATATAGCTTTAAATTAAGAATACATATACTTAATGGGGGAGAGAAATGGACAAGAAGCCTCGATACTTACTTAACCGTACCTGGGTATTTAGGTTTCAGTCTAGTTTTCTATGTAGCGTCAATTCCTTTTTTATAATTCCTTGTGAAAAGAACAAGTTTAGTTTTAGTAGGATTTACGCCTAGCCCACAATAATTTTAGTTTACTTGTAATTAGGTAGCATATAGTCTGGGGGTACTTTCCTTTAAGGATGACTGCAACATCATCCGCTTACGCGACAATGGGGCAACTGCCCCCTCCATATTCCGCAGCAGTCTATTGACAGCTATATTCCATAGAGGGGTGATGCCCCCTTGGGACGTACCACTGCGGACATATCTGGAGAGAGTTGACGATCCAAGTGCAGATTTCACAATCCTGCAAGTAAGCAATTGATTGATCAATCCCACTAAACTGGCGCCAAACGACAGGTCCAGCAGACCTGGCTATCGCCCCTAGAGTGACATTGTTTAAGGCACCTTCAATGTCAAGGAGAGCTAATAAAGTATACTCATGCTGTGACTGGAGGCAAGCTTGGAGTTTGTGAGATAGAGACTCATAGGCCGATCTAAAGTCTTTAACATGAAGCAGGATAGACTGCTGGGTCTAAAATCCTTGACGCTGGTATGTGAAGGCTGCTCAGCTGTATGTCAAGTCGGTGGAATCCGGCAAGTCTTGAGAATTTTCTCGAAAATTTCGTGTAGCCACTTTATAGTGTCAGCCTTTTGTAAATAGGCCGGGCTTACTTGATCGGGGCCTGGAAATTTAAACAGTTTGAAGCTGTTTATTGTCTATCCTATGCTTTCTATTTGTAGAAGAAGTTTCATTGATGTAATCTGTTTGAAAGTCATTTGTGTGGACCTTACGAGGGGTGTTCCGAAAGAGTTCGATCTAATTTCCTTTTAAAAATTTTCCATTTGGCATTCTTTTGATTTAAGAAGGCTTCAGTTGGATTAACAAAAGCTCAAATTCAATGTATCTGAGATAAGAGAAGCAGTGGTCCTCAGACACCTTTCATCCTGTTATCTAATAATTTAAGGCGTGTGTAGTAAGGCTCAGGTCTATGACATCTTTGATTTTTTTTATGATAAAAGTGGGATCATTGCCCATATTTCCAACTATGAGATTTGAATTTAGTATGAAGGTAAAGAGTAACATCTCAATTTCGTGTCCGTGCTACCCCACTGAGAGTGGTGAGCGTTGCCATCGCAGCCAATGACGGGCCGATTTTGTGTTTTCCGCAGTCTTGTGATCTCATCCGGTGGTGGTCTCATGCTATCGTGGGCCAAATAGGATGGCTTAGTGCAGTGTTGTCGCTGTGGCTAAAATGATGGAGCAGAAAAATACTTCGAAAGAATGCAGGTTCTTACTTTACTTTCGAATGGAGCTACAATGAGCTAATGATTGTCGCTATCTAACCCGCAAACCTTGTTTCCAACTACCCAAGGTTCTTGGTTTAGAGCTACGCCAACTCCACCGCCAACCAGGCGTGGTGAAGGGTTATCTGTAGAAGTCGCATTGACATCTAGAGAGCTTACACTGTTATGTTGCTATCCTCCTCTTCCGATTGCGAAACCTCATCCTCGTCTAGCTCGCGACACATGGCCTGTAGGCTATGAGTCAGCGTCGACGCGTCTGATATAAGTCCGACCTCAAACTCGTTGTCGGGTGCCTCGATCTCTGGAGAGGGACTTTGTTCGACTGGGTTGTCGACAGAGTCCCCTCCGGCCGTCGTATCCGACTCGTACACCTTGACGATGAATGATCTGAAGCCAAAGTTCAGCTCACCCTTGGCAGACTCAATCGGTGTAAGTGATGCCTTCTTGAGATTCAATACCGCTTGATTCGTGGGATCTTGGGTGGCCGCAATCTTAACTACCCTCCAATCATAGTTGGGTAGTAATGGGTTACATCTTTGTAACATTGTGAGCACCTGATCCGGTTCCTTCAAAGCTGCCGGAATCTAGATGAGAGCGCGAGGTCGACTCGGAACTTCGCTTCAGTCGACAGCGACCAGCTTAGCTCCCGGGTAAACCTCGCCCCCGCCGGCTACGGCTGCCTTGAAAAGCTGCACAGAGTGGATGTCTTTACAAGTAATAACCTTCGTATTCTCTAGGAACCAACCAACATCCTTGCATGAAGGAGGCGGTGCGGGTTCTTTGGTGAGCAACTCGAAGCAGCGGACTGCTAAAGGTCCTTACACATGCTTCCATTGGCGCGTCGGGATTCTTCCGACTTTATTGCCTGTGTCGAGGACCTATAAGGATCCTCTGCTTAGCAATATGTATGAAAGATATCCATTGCTGCACTTTTATTCGCTTGGCTGTGAGTCCAGGCAGTTTCTGAGAGAGTTGCCTTTTCACGTGACTTTGCTCTCTGTTGGGCGGTGTTTCGTTAAAATTCGGCAGCATGATTTTCGCTCATGCCACCTTATTCAGCAATTCGACTGGTGGGTTGGCCGCCGCAATGGCGCTCTGCCACTTCAGACAGCTGGCTGCATTCCTTTGCTCGGTGTATGGGGAATTTACGTACCTGGACACTGGTGGATGGCAATTTGCCTTTCACGATCGCTCCTGCTGGAAGATCAGCTGCACAAGTGCTCGGCTTCACTTCCAAGGAGGTGGGCTTGGCAGGGTCCTTATCGACTCCACTAATATCACTGGCTAGGCAAGAAGGTCCTCTGGCCTCCTTTGCCCGTGTTGAAATTTGACCAGGCTTTAAAGTCACTCCGCTACGTGCTTGGGACACCCCCTTCCGGTCTTAGCTAGCATCGGTACCACTGTGATGCTATTAACAGTCGGCATCCTCGTGGAGGGTTCAATTAAGGAATTTGGCCGATGTAGGGATATATTCATACATCATTTTGATGTACTCAAAATGCGATCCGTATTTTTCGGTCCACCACTAAAAATATTTGGTATTCATTACGAAAATGTAAGCAAAGCCGATCAAGATACACAACAAATTTTTTTCTAGCATTTTATATCTAATTATATGCATTTTAAATTAATATTTAACGCAAAAGGAATTCTCATTGAATACATTCCGGATTTCAGACAATACAAGAAAAAGTATCACCTAGCGAAGATGATTTTCAAACAAGGCTGTTGTTTCTCTCAATTTCTTAAATAAAATCATATGAATAAATGCCTTAAAATGTGATTATTTATAATTTATTTGAATTAAAAACTCGTCTGGCTATGACAATTGCCCGTTGCTTTGTGCACACAGCTGCCAACAGCTGCAAACATTTAGTCTGCATATCTTTTTGACCTATCCATTATATCTTCATTACGGACAGAGCATTAAAAACTAGCTACTTCAACATAGAATTTAATTCATTTTTTTACCCAATTCTTTTTTATTACTTACATCTGCAAGTCTTACTGATTCTGATGCTGCCTATGTAAAAGCGTTTCACCTCTTTTAAAAATCCCATTCGTCCCGCAAGATGTTGCTGAGTGTGTTTTGCTTAATATATTTTCATTCTCGATTGGAAATGAAATTGCAGTCCGAATTCTACTCATAGGAACATAGGAAAAGAAACATAAAAATATAACCGATTGTCATTCCATTTATAAAAAGACGCCACTATCTTGACTGGTATTTGTGTGGAGTTTGCCTGGCACAGAATTAAGCGCGTATTTCAACTATAATGCGCTTTGCCATTTATAAACTCCATAATTTATTATATACTATTACAAATCATTAGAATTTGTTGTCGTTTGGCTCATAGCAATATGCATAACTCAAGCAAACTAACGCAAGCGCAATTAGTGGGGAGAATTAAATCTGTCTACTGCAAAGATTTTGTGTGAGTAATATGTTTACATGCATATACATATGTACATATGTTATTATTATTCAAAACATTTATGTATATTGTTTGTTATTATTATTCAAAACATTTATGCGTATTGTTTGTTTGTGTAACAGACGCAGTCTATTCCAAAAAGGCAAATGAGATATTAACAATAAGTTTCAAGAATATTGTTTTATGTGCTTGTGTTAAGTTGGATACAAATACAAAAATAAGTTTGAGGCGCGAGCAACCTTTCAATCCTGAAGTCCGTCGCAATCGGCAAGATGCATATTACGTGTCAACTGCTATCATTTTTGTACCAGGAGACTGACAATAGGAGGTTGTTTGCCATAGCCATTGGACGCGTATTTTTACAATTTAATTTCTACAATACATAAATATTAAGTGAGCGTATTGGAAGCATTTTCGGGATTACTGGGATAATGATGTACATTATGTTTCCATAAAATTATTCTATTAACAGTGCCATTAGAAAAAGAAATATATTCAATAAAGCCGATTTGTGAATGACCAGATGGGAAAATGAAAATATCTGTAGAATTGTCTTTGTTTTGTATTGAGGAATTTATTAATGGGCTTGGAAGTTCCTTCAGTGAATATTATGTGTGGTGCTCTAGCTGATATTTTCTGCATCTGGTAACCGTTGAACTAATACAGAAGTGGGATTCTGAAGGTTTCACTGATCGCCGGTCCCATTCAGTCATTTCCATTGTAGTTTCGCAAGTTTCTGTTAGATAATAGTCCCTAGCTACACTTCGGAGCACTCTTCGCAATTCTGCTCTGGTTGGTGTTTCGGATTTGTGTTTCAGTTTGATAAATATTTGCCAAATATCCTGCAGCGTAATCCGGATAAAATGCATATTTAATCAAGTACTTATAGCTTTTACATTTAAAAAAATAGATTGCATATAAAAAGGCAGATAGAGCGACATACATACGACATAATTATTTTATTTTTTTTTAATAATTTTATTCATACATTAATATTAATTTCAATTTTAATTTTTACGAATTAATGTTGATGAAACATATTTAAATTCCAGATCATATTCGGAAATTACATTCTTCCCAAAAGAGTACTTGAATGTCTTGACAGGACCAAATGGAACTGGAAAGTCAACAATTGTATCTGCAATCATTTTGGGCTTAGGAGGCGAACCGCAATTACTAAAACGCTCCTCTAGTATCTCAGATTACATAAAAAGCAGTAAGAGCACTGCTACAGTTATTATCACAGTTTATGGAAGAGGAAATAACTCCACAGAAGCATTCAAGCGCATAATAAGTGACAACGGACAATCTCGATATTTTGTGAATTCTAAGGAATTATCAAAAACCAAATTCGTGGATATTATTGCAACCTATAATATTCAAGTCAGTAATTTGTGCCAGTTTTTACCACAGGATCGAGTTCAGGTAGAATGAAATTTGCGTTTTCTATCCTTAAATTTGCATTTTCTATCCTTATAAATAAATATTTTTATATTTGATCACATACCAGGATTTTTCAAAAATGAATCCTCAAGAGCTTTTAGTGAACACCATGGCCTCTGTGTGCGACAATGAGTTAATACGGTGCTTTAATGATTTAAAAGAAATGCGCAAAACACAGTCAAGTGCTCATGACGACAGAGAGCGGGAAAAAGAGAAGCTTCTGAAAGAGCAAAAGAGATTGGAACAGTAAGTGATTTTACACAAGCACATTTAACAAGAGAGGACGTTTCAGTTGGGCGTAACCGATTCCGAAAAACTTTAATAGCATAAATATTACCAGGTGATAACAGGTAGCAAAGAACAGGGTGGGTGCAGCCAAGAAATACCGTCCATGTTTGCTTTTAAAATAGAGGTAGATATAGGCTTTTGTGAATTTTGGAAAGCGTGAATGGGTGTGGCCGAAAAAGATTGTTGGAAGGGTTTCCTAGTAACCTTCCTCTCAAGTTTGTTAACTGTAGTTCTTAAATAACGGGAGATATGGGCTTTTGGAAATTTTGAGATGAGAAAAAAATGATAGAGAAGGTTCCTAGTAATCATCCTTGTATTTCAGATTTCTAGGTCCAAAGTTCCTGGAGGCGGTGTGTGTGGGCGTGGTCTGTAAATTTTATATGCCGATCTTTGGAAAGAGGTTTCCAGCAAAATATCTTCTGTGTTTGGTCACTCTATCCTTGAATTTGTGGGAGGTATGCGGACTTATCGATTGACACTTTCCAAAATATCGGCATTGGCGATTATAGGCTCAGGTATAATCATAACTATAAAAATTTGTTATTGGCTACCACTAATATAACTACCAAATTTGACGGGTCGAATTAAAAAACTGCGGAAGATGTAGCCATTTAAAATTTTTAGAGACGTGTATGGCCTGGCCTGTGGCGGTTGGGGTGGGCATAGGCCGATCTTTGAAAGTCCTCACCAACAACCTATCAACCAAATTTGATGACTGCAGGCTTATATTTGGGGGAGATATGTGACTTTATCGATTTGATTGATTTCCTAGCCCCCTAGTGGACGAACGCAGAAATTTTTTAAATTTGTGTGACGCGGGCAGAAATATATATTCAAAGTTTCAAGTCTTTATCTCTAAGAGTGTCGATCAAAGTTGCGTTCATACGCGGACAGACAGCATGACGGAGATTTCACAAAAACATAATATATTCCAGGTTACAAATTTCGGTAGATCAATACCAAGAGCGTCAAGGAATACAACATAAGTTAAATGTATATAAGGCAAAAAAATTATGCGTTGAAATGTCCGTGGGAAAGACCAACATTGATGATTATAATAGTCAATTGATTAAAGAGAAAGTTGACTGTGAAGCTCAAAAGAAAACGTTTGAAAGTAAAAAAAGAGCACAGGAAGAAGTTATGAAAAAATCTTCTATATTGGAAAAAAAAACGACAGAGCAAGTAAGTTAATGTTGATCATCGAATTCCTTTGTATTTATTACCCTATCGTTTTATATTTATTTAAATTAAGGTTCAGCTAATTAATAAATCCATAGCTACTAAATGTGATTTAATTTCTCAACTGGAAACCATAAAACATAAAATTAATGAGAATAAATGCGATTTGGAGGTTGGTTTATCTTCTTTTTTCATATGGGCATTATATTTTATAAAAGTGTCTTACAGAGAAACATACAACAGTCAATCGAAAGTATAAGCGAAATGGAGAAAATAAAGTTGTTGTTAGAAACCAAACAACATGAATTGCAGCAATTCAGTAATGACAAAATGGAGGTGTTGAATGAACTAGAACAACAAAAGAAAACAATAGTAACAACTCGTGAGATAACGATGAATCAGTGTAATAAGCGCAGAGAATTTGAAACTATGTTAAATGATGAAAAAATTCCGGAAATTACGGCTCTTACTCACAAGATAGAGAGACTGCAAAATATGAAATCACAAAAGATTGAAGTAAGTTATGCACATTGTTTTTATTTTATTTTTATATATTACATATTTTTAAAATCTTTCAACACTTTTAGGAGTTGCGACAACGAAATCCTAACGTGGTCAAGGCTATGAACTGGGTAGCTCAAAACAAGCATAAATATAAATGTAATATTTATGATCCCATGGTATTTGAAGTAAGTAAATTTACATTTTTGTTATTTGATAATTCAATGGACTAGTCTACGCTTTATTATTTACAATACTTCGCTGTACTATTATTTTGAACTAACAAAAAAGTTATAGTGCTAGAAGCAATGAAAGCTCAACATTATTCAAGTAAATGGGCATTCCTAATAGATATACATGTTAGCAAAACTAATGAGATATGGCTTTTAAGACAAATTTGAAATATCAAAAGTTTTGAAGACTTCTGTTGTTTTGACCACAACTATATGTCTATGTCAACTATATGTCGGTTACGTAAGACAGTATCGTTCTTACTATAGTTTATTTACTTTAATTAATTCATAAAAAAATTAAAAATGCTCGAAATATGAAACTTAAAGACTTAAACCATTTGTGCAATTCAAGAAATATATAATAATCGATATATTAACTTTTCCTATACCTGCTGAGAGTAGATCTCAATGACTTCTTATGTATGTGTAAAAGTATATTCAAAATTGTTCTACGCCGCGAAGCTTTCATAAAAACAACGCTAAGATTGCTAAAAATCAATATTTGTCATTTTTAGGGAGATAACAAAATTCTATTTGATATGTAAAACATTTTTTTGTGATTATTATTATTATTATTGGGGAAGCTGCACCGCGACCTATTTGATCTATTGTGCCCCTTCTGAGCTTATAGCTCCTCCATCAGCCCCAACTCCCGTACGAACGTAAGGATCTTTGTTAGGTTGAGGTCTTCTATGTCTTTGCAATTCAAGAGATGCGCCCCTATGATGCTGCTTCTTCTTCTAGCTAAGGCGACAAATTTTGCCAGGATGTGCATCGAGGATTCCTCCTCTCTTTCACAAAACCTGCAGAGATCGCTACTGTATATACCCAATTTTGTCAGGTGACTCCTTAGTCTACAGTGTCCTGTCAATAGACCGGTAAGTATCCTAAGGCTGTTCTTTCCCATGCCTCTCCTCGTTTCTAAGTTCCAGTCGTATAGTGTGTCTCCCTATGCCACAATACGGTTCTGGTCCTTTTAGGGGCCTTCCTGCCCCCATTCTTGCTTGCTTGTCAGCCGCTTCGTTTCCCGCTATGTCCCTGTGATCCGGGACCCATCGTAGGGTGAGCCTGTTGTGAGTCCCGAGTAGGTCTAGCTTTGAACGAACTTCATGGACTACCTTCGATGTTATCTTAGTCCCCATTATATCTTTCAATGCTTGACTATCGGATAGGATGGATATATCCGTATTCCGATAGTTACGTTCTATGTTGAAGTCCGCACATCCCTATCACACACACCTCAGCCTGAAATATGCTGGTGTGCGTTCCCAGAGATTCATGGTAAAATACCGGAGGACCCACCACTTCAAGGCCGGTGCCCTGATTCGTGAGTGATCCATCGGTGTACCATTTTATGGTGTGCGGTTTCATGGGATGGACTTCATCCAGAGTTGTCCATTCCCTTTTAGTGTGAAATTTCGCTCGAATATGTATTCGGCTACCATTTCGTCCCTAGGTTGCGTCAGTAGGGGTAGTTCGTTTAAAAGGAGTTAGGCATCTTTATGGCTTAGGATATGGTTGTCCCCAACTCCTCCTGTCGATATCTTAAGAAGCGTGGCTTTCTGCTTGAGCCTTATGATATGGTGGAATGGTGTGAGCTCCATTAAGGCTTCAATGGCCATTGTTGGGCAGGTGCGCATAGCTCCTGTCATACATACGCAAGTCATCCTTTGCAACTTTTGTAGTTGTTTCTTCACGGTGATCAGCCGCGCCCTGTCACCCCATGCTACCCCCATAGGTTAACATGGGTCTTACTACCATCAGGTATAGCCATCTTAATATCTTTGGTGATGTACCCCATGATTTACCGGCAATACTACGACATGTGTAAAGCACCCTGGAGCACTTTAATATCGTGTTTTGCACATGGGTGCCAAAGTTAAGCCTTCTGTTAAATGTGACTCCCAGGTATTTGACCTCCCTACTCGTTTCTAGTAGGGTCACTGAGAGCCATATTTGTGTCATCCTCTGTAACTTATGTCGTCTGGTAAAGGGGACGATGACTGTTTTCGTACGGTTTAGGTGGAGTCCAACCTCCATACACCAGTCATACGTTATCCTTAGTTCCTGTCCTGTTTGAAGGAAGGCTGGCGATATGCCGTCCATTCCAGGGGACTTATAGGGCTGGAATGTTCCAATTGCCCAATTAAGTTTCTCCCTTGAGACTGTCAACTTGGCGCATGCCCAGTCGTCAGTTGACGGCCTATATCTACTTTCCCTTTCGATAGCCTCTTCCTGCAGGGGTGTACTTCCTGGGAAGTACGTCTCGAAGAGTAATACTAGTTTCTGCAAATCACTACCCGTAAAGGAGTTATCCCCACGCTTCAGTGCTAAGTTCGCATCAGGCGCTCGTTTCGCCAGTGCTCTATGGAGCATGGCGCCTTCGCTTGTGCTAACTATGCTTTCGCAGAAGTTTCTGTAATTCTTCCGTTTGGCCTTCCTTATCTCCTTATTATAAGAGGTCAGGCTTTCACGGTACTGCTCCCATATTCCGTCTCTCTTTGCTTTATTAAAGAGGCGACGTGGGGTCACGCGCAGCCTTTCTATGCTGTCGTTCCACCATGGGGCATCTTTCTCCAAGTACTTTTTCCCTACCGGGCAGTTATTCTCAAATGCATTGGTTATGTACTTGTTGAGGTAACCAATAGCCCTGTCCAGCTCTAGTGGCTCTCTGGGTATACCAGATAACCCGTTGGCTAGGGAGAGCTGTAAGGCCGACTTGTAACCTTCCTAGTTGGTTTTCCTGGGGTTGCGACCTGGTATACTGCTATCCGTATTTAATTGTAAGTTAAATAGGATAGTTCTGTGATCAGACATTGATTCCTCTTGGGAAACGTGCCAGTCCATAAGGTGAGGTTTTAGGGACCGACTAACCTAATCCGACATTGCCTAATTCTAGATTATATTTGAATTTAAAGTCCGTTAGGCACTCACCCCTCAAATTGATGTCGCTGCTGCCCCATATCGTATGGTGCGCATTGGCACCGCATCCGATGAGCACTGGGATTTTCTCCCTCCTGCAGTAATCCACCAGTTTTTCTATCTCTGGTGGTGGGCAGGCTCCATCTTCTGCGAAATACGCAGACACCATGGCCGTAGGGACCGCGCTGTTCCTGGTCAGCACCAATATGGAAACGCAGTCCCTAGTCAGGAATTCTGAAAGGATAGTAAAGTTAATACTTTTATACTCTGGGTGCTGGATCTCTCCGATCCCAGATTACCTTCGAGTCAGCCGTGTACAGGCCTTTAATGCCATTGTGCACCCATGGCTCCTGTATTAGGGCCAGCCTAAGGTGTTGCTTGGTAAACATCCTTGATAAGACCGCCGCGGCGGCCTTAGCACGGTGGATGTTTACCTGAGCCAGCCCTGTGCCGGTGACTCTGGCCATCTATTGCTGGGGAGGCTCCAGCTGATTGGGGCCTGAAGTTGCCCCTGCCACCGCTGCACGTCATTTCGACGTCAGCTGCTGCTGCATTCAGCAGCTCCTCCGCCAGCTCCTGTGAGAACATGGGGATATCCTCATCTCCCAGTATATCCATTTGGCAGAGCGTTTTGTCCGCCAACTCCTCATCTTCTGCGAGGTCCTCCACCCTGTCACTTGGCTCAGACTGAGGCTTAGCTCCAGATCTCCCCTTTAAACCGCTTACGGGGATGGTCCCGTAGCGGAAGTAGATGGTGGTGTCCCTTCTCCATAATGATATCCTTGGATAGTTCGTCTATCCCTATGACCAGGAGGGCTCCTCTGCCCTCGTTCCTCCTGGAAATCACCTTCCATGTGTCGGTCTCGATCCTGTTCTGGTTCCTCAGCAGAACCAACAGGGATTCGGTCGACCGATCCACACTTCTGGGGCAAAACAGCGTGATGCAGTGGGGCGACGGAATGTTGTCTCCCACTTTGCATTCAAGGGGCACGCCCTTCCACGATTTTAGCCGCGTCGCTGCGGTTCTCAGCCAGTCGGCTGAGGCCTCATCCAAGCACTCAATGACCAGGAAACCGACCCGGAAATGAATGCCCGCGAATGAGACCGCAACATCCCCACCAGACGCAACGATTTCGTCTATGATGACCTCTTCCAGCACAGACAAGTCTCCGCGACTGAGCATTGCCAGTGGGAAATCCACAGGCAGCACAGCCACCTTTACCTTTCTTGCCATATCCGCATATGACAGTCGGGGCTCGGTGGGTGCTGGCGAGCTGGGCTTCGTGGCCGCTGCACGCGATGTGCTCGGACGGAGGTCCAAGCCTGCTCCCTTTTCGGCCGTCACCTTCGCCTCCCCAGGGCCGTCAGCAGCACCCTTGGCCTCCGGGCACACCCTCTTGGGGGTGGCCACCGGCGGAGTGAGTGCGCTGCTACGCCTCTTGGGAGCTGGCGCAGGTGCCGTAGCCGCTTCCCTGGGCTCTGTGGCCTTCTTCAGGTCAGCATCAGGAGTGAGTCCTTGCTGGAGGTACCGGAGGTACCACTTGACCCTTGAACCGCAGAGATTTCTCCGGTTCGGGTCATCCAGCCCACCGGGTTGACCACTCGGTGGCAGGAACTCGTCCTTCCTCTTAGGGCGCTGTGCGCCCTGCCTCGCAGCGTTCGTTGCAGGGCGTGGTTGTCGGGGTGGTCCGACCATCACACTCCCTCCCATCATGCCTCAAAGCCGGAGTTTGTTGTGCCTGCGGCACTCTCCTGTTTGGTGCTGGAGCAGCACGGTGTGGAGGTTGGTCTACCACATGAGAGGGTCTTTCCCCGTCTAGGGAGATCCTGCGGTATTTTAGTGTTCTTGGAATTTTTCATTAGTTCCCACGTGCTGCGGAGAAATGAGTGTCCGCCCGGGCAGAGATCCGCATTACCCGGGTAAGGCTGAATTAGAACAGGCGGTCGCCATTTGCCTGAGCCCACCGTTCGAGACTGGGCTAGTTTTTTCCCCGGGCCCTCAGCCAAGCTGACTCTCGGCACGGTTCGGATAACGCCTTAGTCCGGCCCGGAGTGAGATGTGGGGGATAGGATGGGGTAGGTAATAGTGAGGGAGATAGGGGGTTGTGTGAGGCTATACTTTATAGGCGGCAACACAAGCGCCTTGTCAGTGCGATTGACAATATCGCACCCGCTGTTTGTCCGGGACTGCTTATTTACGAGGAATCTCGTATTATTCGCAGCTAACCTCCCCGGGGGAGGCCATTCGCTATCCGCAACCCGCGACCCGCCTGGTGGCCTCAGCTCAGCCCCATCCGAACCATCCCACAAGTTCTTTAGACCAGGTTTTTTTTGTGATTAAACTGACATGACTTACTGCTTACATTTAATAAATATTGATTAAAAATTGATAAAGGCTACAACAACTATTTATCAATAATACAATTTTCTAATTTTTTTCAGTTAAGCATCAAAAGTGATGAGGCAGCAATGTATTTAGAGAATGTTGTTAGACAACGCGACTTATATGCTTTTGCATGTGAGGATAAAATCGATATGTCGGATCTTATTAACGAGCTATGCGTGAAGCAAAAGCTATCCGTAAATGTTATATATTGCGGTCCAGCAGACAGATGCTTGTTTACGTCTAGAGTTCCAATTACAGAAATCATGTAAGTTATAAAAGGTTATACACATTCAATGTTATGTACTAATAAGTTTAATGGCAGGCAGATAGGATTCACTTCGTATCTTGTTGATCTGATCTCTGGGCCGATACCAATAATAAACAAGCTATGTGGGACTTATCAAATTCATAATATTCCCATTGGCAAAGATGAAGTTAGTAATTTTACTTCCAGAGTTCCAAAATCCATTCGAATATATTTTGGAGGTAAGTATTTCATGGTACTTATTTAATATTATTTTCTGATTCAGTTATAGTTCGCATGATCCGGTTGTTTTGCTTAAATACATAGACCATTATTATACTCTATGTATTATAACTATAAGTAGGGTACCTGAACTGCGACCTATTAGATCTTGCAATGCACTTATGTTTTTATAATTTGTGATAAGGCACCAAAATGTTTTCTGTGACGACATCACGATATCGCCCTGACTCTATATTAACCGAAAGCACAGTTCGAAGAAAAAATCAACTTATTAGCCTTGATTCAACACAGTTGACGTCACTTAAAGAAAGGTGAGTGATAATAAACTTAACTAATTAATATTGAACACAAATACCCATAAATCTTCTATCCACTCGAATTTACATTCAGGATACAGGCTTTCTGATTTTTAATTTAGTTTCCGTAACCGGCATAGCACTCCGAATCAGCCTTGTAGATTTAACTAATATTTATATATATATAATATATTTTGAAACCTGACATATTCATTCTATGCTATTCAAGAAGTGATAGTATTCGGCATGCACCTCAAATGGATTTTCTATCGGGGCACTGCACTGATTCCTACATTGAATATTGATAATTGTCTCACATAATCAATTCGTTCCTATCCTGGACTAAATTCAACCCTTTCCCCCTTTCTATGGATATTAAAGTAACTAAACTACCTTAATCGTCCAAAGTGTTATTCTTCAGAACCATGATTGCTCGGTTGCTAATGAGTTATCGGATTAAATATATTTAATAATTCGTAAATGGCAAAAGATCAAACTAATAAGCCGTCACCGTTGCAAAAAATTGTATGCTCAGCATTTATACACAACACAGGTTATTGGCATTTGGACACCCTAGGTAAGCAGGGGGAGGCCAACCAATCTGTAAGGGTTAAGAATTGTCTTCAATCGCCAGTCATTTAGCTTAAAATGTTTTATTTCAATATTAATTTAAGCCTTTATAAAAATGTAAATAAATTGTTACAGATACTCCAAATTAATATATGAAAAGGATAAAATAAGAAACAATTTACGAGAGATCGATAGCGAAATTGATCGCTTGCAGATAGTTTTTCGAGAAGAAGGAGAAAAAAAGAGAAAAATTGAACAAAAATTGACGCATTATGGAAATCTGGAGACTGATGTGAAAAAGCTGCAGATGAAAGTTGACAACTTAAATAAATCAATCTCTTGTAAGTAAACAAAACGACACACAATAAAACAAAACTTAATTTCATTTTGCACCCTTAGCATTGGAGACCGTAAAAAAAACATTCCAAAGAGATTTGCTATCAGATTTAAGGAAAATTCTTAAAATTGAAAGCAAATTAATCAACAGTGTAGAGACTGCAGATAAGTTCCAGACAAAATATAAATTGAACGAAGCAATTAAATCAGTCCATAAGCAACAGCATGAATTGCAAATAAATGCAGTCAAGGAAAGTCAAGAGATCTACAGAATGGCTAGTGTAAGTTATTCTAATGAAGACAATAAATTCAACTTCACCAATACAATTTTTAGTCGAAAGTCGAAAAATTGACAGGATTACTTCAAGCTCAGCTACAAGAAATTTCCGCTAAAACCGTGGAAGTGAAGCGGTTGTGCAACGGCCAACTTCCGTCAAGCGAAAGTTTTCCTTTTAAAAGCGATTTCGAGAAAATATTAAGCCTTAGCTTAGAACAAATTCTTGAAGCCATAATCGATTTTCAGGCAAGATTGGAATGCATGAAAAATTGTGATTCTGAGGTAATGTGATATTGAAATTTTGTCAAATCATAAATCCAATTATTTTGATAATATTAAAGGTACTTACGAACTATCATCAACGCCAAGCCAATGTGGAACAATTAAAGAAATCAATCGAAAACAAATCAATCCAAGAAAAAAACGTAGAAGCCGAGATATTAAATGTATTCAATAAATGGGAACCTCAACTTACCCAATTAATTGAGACAATTAACGCCAAGTTCAGTGAATTTATGGATTCTATCGAATATGTTGGAGAAGTGGTCTTGTCCAGAAAAGAAGCGGTAAGTATTGTCCAATATTTTCAAAATTATTGCTATATAAATTCAATAATATATTGAGAACTCTTTCAGTAAATTTATTTACTTAACTGCAACTAAAGTCAGTCGACAGAAAAAAATTCAATAATATATTACATTAAATTAAAAATGTAATTTAAAATAAAATGTAAATTAAAAGATATCTAGGAGTATTAAATGCAAAATGGCCCAACATTTGTTGCATGGATTGGGGAAAACCAAAAAAAAATTAAAATTGAGTTCTTAATAATGGAAATAGGGGACTCTGAATTGAATGCATAATATAATATATTGTAAATATTACAGAGTAGTCGAAACGGTTCATGCAAAGAAAAATTAGTAGTACGATGATTAAGAGAATGTGGGAAGAAAATCGAGACTGTCGAGAGAGAACAGAAAAATTAATGTGGCTCAGCAACGCAACCAAATCCATCTCACCATTTAGTAACTTAACTACAAAGATAATTTAGTTAAGGAGGAGCAATCAAACGGTGTATGGGGGCAGTATACTCCAGTCATAGCGAGGAAGAACAAAAAGTAAGAAACTTTTCTGCATCCATTTTGTTGAGTCAAGTATTGAGGAGACCACATACAAGATCCGTATTCCAGAATTGGACGTGCAAGAGAAGTGAAAAGTATCTTGGTCGTATAAATGTTATCAAATTTCCTTGACCAACAGTTAATAAAATCAATAACTTGAAAGGCTTATTATTATTAGGGGGAAGCTGCACCGCGACCTATTTGATCTATTGTGCCCTCTCTGAGCTTATAGCTCCCAACTCCCGCACGAATGCGAGGATCTTTGTTGGGTTGAGGTCTTCTATATATATGCAATTCAAAACATGCGCCCCTAGGAGGCTGCTTCTTCTTCTAGTTAAGGCGACACACTGCCAGAATGTGCATCGAGGATTCCTCCTCTCTTTCACAAAACCTGCACAGGTCGCTACTATATATACCCAATTTTGCTAGGTGACTCCTTAGTGTACAGTGTCCTGTCAATAGACCGGTGAGTATTCTAAGGCTGTTCTTTCCCATGGTTATAATTTGTTTAAATCGTACAAGATTATAACCACCTAGTAGACATCTGGCTTGTCGGAGTCCTACTGCCTCCGACCAGCTCTGTTGCCGTCTCTGCCTCTCCTCGTTTCTAAGTTCCAGTCGTATAGTGTGTCTCCCTATGCCACAATACGGTTCTGGTCCTGTTAGGGGTCTTCCTGCCCCCATTCTTGCTTGCTTGTCAGCCGCTTCGTTTTCCGCTATGTCCCTGTGATCCGGGACCCATCGTAGGGTGAGCCTGTTGTGAGTCCCGAGTAGGTCTAGCTTTGAACGAACTTCATGGACTACCTTCTATGTTATCTTAGTCCCCATTATAGCGTTCAATGCTGCTTGACTATCGGATAGGATGGATATATCCGTATTCCGATAGTTACGTTTTATGTTGAAGTCCGCACATCTCCCTATCGCACACACCTCAGCCTGAAATATGCTGGTGTGCGTTCCCAGGGACTCATGGTAGAATACCCGAGGACCCACCACTCCCAGACCCGTGCCCTGATTCGTGAGTGATCCATCGGTGTACCATTTTATGATGTGCGGTTTCATGGGACGGACTTCATCCAGAGTTGTGCATTCCCTTGTTGGGCAGGTGCGCATAGCTCCTGTCATACATACGCAAGTCATCCTTTGCAACTTTTGTAGTTGTTTCTTCACGGTGATCAGCCGCGCCCTGTCAGGTATAGCCATCTTAATATCTTTGGTGATGTACCCCATGATTTACCGGCAATACTACGACATGTGTAAAGCACCCTGGAGCACTTTAATATCGTGTTTTGCACATGGGTGCCAAAGTTAAGCCTTCTGTTAAATGTGACTCCCAGGTATTTGACCTCCCTACTCGTTTCTAGTAGAGTCCCTGAGAGCCATATTTGTCTCATCCTCTGTAACTTATGTCGTCTGGTAAAGGGGACGATGACTGTTTTCGTAGGGTTTAGGTTGAGTCCAACCTCCATACACCAGTCATACGTTATCCTTAGCTCTGACTGGACTATGTCACAGAGTGATTCTTCAAATTTGCCTCGCGCTATGATAACAATGTCCTCGGGATATCCTTGACATTGAGTAACACTGTTAGCAAGTCTGTTTAGTAGTTCGTCTACTAACAGACTCCAGAGTAGCGGAGACAACACCCCTCCTTGGGGACAGCCTTTGGTGGTTATGACTGTTACAGTGCTATCATGTAATGATGCCGTGGCTTGCCTGGACCGAAGCAGTGCGAGTATCCATCTGCTGGTGGTATGGTCCAGGCCTCTTCTCTCGAGGATAGCATTGATTGCATCGTGAGATGTGTTATCAAAGGCACCTTCTATATCTAAGAAGGCGTACAGAGCTACTTCCTTATTATCAATTGCCGCACTCAAAGTACGTCGCAGCTGATAAAGTGCTGTGTCCGTGGACCTGCCTACTCTGTATGCATGCTGCGTTGGGTGCAGCGGCCTTTGCTTAAGCAAAGTGCTTCTGATTTTGAAGTCCACTTTTCCAGCTTTTCTAACGTTTTCAGTAAAAACGATGTTAAGCTGATGGTTCTGAAGGACTTTAGGCTGGTAATGTCTTTCTTCCCTGCCTTGGGGATGAAGACTACCCTAGCTCTCCTCCACGCGCCCGGTATGTATCCGAGGGCTAGGCTACTTACTAATGCCTTCCTAACACGGGAGAGGAGTATTTCCTGTCTCGTTTGAAGGAAGGCTGGCGATATGCCGTCCGTTCCAGGGGACTTATAGGGCTGGAATGTACCAACCAATTACCCAATTAAGTCTTTATTTTGTGACTGTCGACTCGACGCATGCCCAGTCGTCAGTTGACGACCTGTATCTACTTTCCCTTTCGATAGCCTCTTCCTGCAGGGGTGTACTTCCTGGGAAGTACGTCTCGAAGAGTAATACTAGTTTCTGCAAATCACTACCCGTAAAGGAGTTATCCCCACGCTTCAGTGCTAAGTTCGCATCCGGCGCTCGTTTCGCCAGTGCTAAGAAGTAAACCTAAATCATTTACTTCATTCAGTCTATCAAGTGGCATCCCATCGGGCGTGTAACTATCAACGATAAAATTACATGACCTTATACTGAGCGCAGTTCATATGCAGCAAATTCAATTTGCACTATGACAGAAAAGAAAGTAAGTCCACCTGCAGTAAGCATTGAGAGGCCATATCATTATATGTCAGGCACAACTTGACATCATAAGCATACATTAGTACTTTAGAGCACAATATAACAGAAGGGAGGTCATTAAGTCAAAGGTTAAAAAGCACGACCCAAGTGACTGCCTTGGGGTACCCTAGAGTTGACTAGGATACGCTTAGAAAATAATGTTTTGACGGCAATTTTTTTAGGCTTGAGGCTTCAGTTATGCAGAGATCCTATAAGGCTTAGTTTATGAAGCAGGAGACAGAATCAAAGACATTACTGAAGGCTGCATATACGACATTGGTGTACATTCTCTGCATGATTCTCTGGATGATTAAGTTTTTTTTTACTCAAACGGGAAAATTAAATACTCATCCTTATATATTTTTTTTGTTATTTCTTTATTTATTTGCAACTAGAAAGAAGGTCAAAAAAATATATGTTTGTATCTACATTTCGGAGAGAAGTAAAAAAGAAAAGGAAAGATATCTTAAAACGACTTGTCTAGGTTAATATGTATAATATGATATTTAATAATAGACGGGCGACCAATGATCGCCCCAATCGAAAAGAGTAAGAAAATTCAAATTAGGAAGCAAGAGCGTCCTAATCGTAATCGTTCACCGAGCGTCCGTGCAATCAAGCATCAAACGAAATCGAACAATTTTTAATCAGCAATTTAATGTCTTTATATCTATGGGCTTTAATATTATATGGAAAAAAGATTTGTTTAGCGTTGTACTAGTTCTTTTTGTTTATGACATTTACTTGACTGCTATATTAAAAGCAACAATACTTCTCAGATTATGGATAATTCAATCCATGGACAGAAAACCAGTAGAGGCGAGTCGGTTTCGTTGTATACTCTACGTCTTAGAAACCAATCCGCAGAGTGAACAAACCAAATTTGCAATCGCACTTAAAACATAATTTAATTTAGTTTAAATGTATAAAAATCGATAGCACAAGAAATTTGTTGGCATTATTATTATACTATACCATATTTTAATATATTAGGAAATACACATTTATATTATACCTTTGATAAAATGAACCTCTACCAGTGTGATTACTTGCCCAACTTATTAATATAAGGATTAAACTTAACTTAAACTTAAAGGACGATTAAAATTATAAATCTAAATAGGCTTCACCAACGGGAAATAAATTTATATTACATTGGTTTTTTTCAGATCGACTTTGAATCGTACGGCATTCAAATAATGGTCCAATATAGGAAAGATGCAAAACTACAAACTCTGGATAAATATATACAATCCGGTGGAGAACGTGCTGTGGCCATAGCAATATATTCGTTGTCATTGCAACACGTTACTCATGTGCCATTTAGGTATTAATTCAATAACACAAATCTTAATAGTATTTTTTTACACAAGCAGAAGAAAATTGATGTATTTATCATATTTATTTAATTAAATTCAAAAATGATTTTTATTAACTTAAATCCTTACGCCAGCGAATGCGAATTGCTGAAGTTTCCCTTTGTAATTAGTCATGCTAATTTGTCTTATTTTTGGTTTTCTAATCATCAAAAATGTTAATTATTGAACAAAAATGAAATTACAAATTATTTAATTAAAAAAAAACGAATTGATGTTACTTATCTAAAATGCGAAAAAAAATTTCTACCAAAATTCTTCAGTCTTATTTTTGTTTCAATTAATATTATGATTTTTTATTGTAGATGCGTTGATGAGATTAATCAAGGCATGGATGCCAAAAATGAGCGCCATATTTTCGATTTACTTTTGAAAGAAGCTACTAAACAGGGATCTGCCCAATATCTGTTTGTAACGCCGAAGGTAAGTCTTAAATAAATATTTCAGTGCTCATATTCCAATATTTTTCATATAATTTTTAGTTGCTCCGTGACCTGAGTTACAATCAACACTTATGTGTCTCCGTAGTTCATAACTCTGGATCCATTAAACCAGATACATATTTTCCACTGAATTAGATTAATTTAGAGTAATAAAGTTAAGCTTTGTATTGCATTCAATAAAATTTTATTTAATACCGGCTGACCCTGCAAGATGTCTTTTACTACGCTCTATATCGATAAGTTGTCCTAATCGAACAAAAGATGACGATTAAAATTAAAAACAAAACTATGTCTTCAAAGTATAGTGGTATTATCAAATAGGCTTTACGAAGGGGAGCTTTCACCTGGAGTGTAAATTCTTTTTTTCGTACTCTGCTAATTTAATTTCGTTATTCGTATTCTGTTTAAATTATAAAGCCTTCATATTTTGTGCAAACTTTACGTAAGAATATTAATTATAGAAATTGCGTTCGTTGTTGTAAAGCTACCAGAAATAAACAATTTTTGATTAGGTTTTTTTTGGCTTTCCTCAATCTTTGCAATAAAGTTTGACTACACTTTGATACGGAAGGTATCATAGTATATTGGTCTTGTGCAATGTCCGTTGTGCTGACACTCTTAGAGATAAAGACTTGAACCTTGGAACATATACTGGTTGTGCATATCTCCCACAATTTTAATGCTACAGTCTCCAAATTTGGTTGGAAGGTTGTTGGCGACATCCATCTCGTCCGCTCCCAGGCCAGGCCACCCCGCCCCTAAAAATCTTAAATGGAAATATCTAACGCAGTTTTCGAGTTAAAGCCGTCAATTTTGGTAAGTATATTAATAGTAGCCGCCTTTATGAACCGATAACAAATTTGCATGGCCACAGTCACACCTGCGCCCATATTCGACAAAGCCGATATTTCGGAATGTGTAAATCGATAAGTCCGCATATCTCCCACAATTTTAAAGGTCGAGTCAATTAACTTGGAAGGTAACTAGCTGGTAACCTTGAAAGATTGGCATATAAATTAAATTTTCAGACCACGCCCACGCCTGGCTCGCCAGGAACTTCGGCCATAGTAATCTGACATGCGCATATTGTGCACAATTTGTAATCAAGAGTCACCAAATTTTGAAAGTATGTTACTGGGAACTCCCGCCTCCAAAATTTGAAGAAGCCTATATCTCCCGCAATCTATCTTAAGAAGATAAATTTTAAGCATTAAATTTCCATAACCCATATCTCCCGTAATTTAAGAGCTACATTTACCAAACTTAGAAGGAAGTTTACTAAGAACCTTCTCTAACAATTTTTTCGCCATTTGCTACTTGTTATCAGCTTAATTATGGTATCAAAATATTTCGCAGACTGCAACTTTCTCTCTTCTTTACATTTGAAATGTATTCATTATATCCTTTATTATATTCGATTTATTTATTTGTTTCATTTTATGGTTTTAATGTGTTTAGTTCGCATTAAATAAGTAACAAATATATATATCTTTCGATATGACTTTTGAAATGCCAAACTTAGCACTTAAACTTTTCTTTTTAAGTAGCGATAGTTGATTTTGGTAAAATATAAACACCTCTCCCAATACCAATCAGATGAACAGAAAAAAATTGATGCTATTGTTTTCCACTATTTAGATATTTTTGGCTTATGTACATAATTTATAATGAGGGTTTTACTCCCATTATATTGGGACTTAGTAGGCCAGTAGAAGATTTACGATAAAGGTCTTTATCAATAACTGCTGATCTAAAAAATCCCAACTATAATGAGGGCACACGCTTTAGCACATTTATGTAAATTTCCTCGATAGTTATAAGCTTAGTTCTGCCCGAATATCGCTGGTGGAGAGACTGACTAACATATAAAAAATTAACTACATCTTTTATATACTTGCGGCAATACTTGCGGTTAATCAAGCGATAACTTTCGCTTTATAGTCTCTCTCATATAATGTTCTGTGAGCATATTATGAGTCGGTATTCAAGTTTTTGTTTAACATACTTATGTAATCATACGAACCTTTAAGATTCGCAGTGTTTGTAAGAGAGCAGATAAATATTAAATTGAGCACAAGGTCTGTTAAAGATGGAAATATAATACGTACTTGAAATGCACAGCCCAAAGCAAGCATGATTAACTCTTAGCTCCAAGCAGTGCTAAGAATATCCCAATAGCTTTTAAGTTAAGTATTTACAGGTATTTTTGATCAGAAAAAATCACAATTTCTTACGACAGTCGACACACAAAATTACAAAATTTATTATGTAGCCGTCGTAGAAAAGATCGATAGAATCAAATTTGTCTTATTAGACGAAGGTTCAATAAATACAAGTACAACTACAACTATAAATTGTATACCGCCCCCACTTAATCCGGTTACCTAAACGGATCAGTTGTTCTTATAACAACATTGCTCCAAAAGAATATAATAACACTAGTAAGTTAATTCGTACAACAGCACAACTATCTGATAAACTGATTCCGTGAATTATAGTCTACATTTAACGGTGATTATAATGATGCTTGTCAAGAATAAAATGTTTTCTTAAATGCGTTGCGCATTTCGTGCGCTTATTTCAAAATCGATTTAACAACTTGCAAATTTACATTTTCGAATGTTAAATTATTTATGAGTTCAATTATATATATTTATTCTTACCCTTTCGTGAATTAAAATTTGACTATAAATTTATCGTTCATTTACAGTTTATAATTAACCGCATTTAGCAGTTAAAATTGAATCTCATATTTAAAAAATGCACACAAAAGTGTTAAGGTATTCCACCTTACGACAGTAATTAAATATGGCTACAAACATATTATAACGTCAAGCATCACTGCTCTTTTAGCCAAGTACCCGTAGGTATTTCGAATACAGACCAATCATTTGTGTAACCTTTTATGGAGTATTCATATTTTATAGCTAATCTGAAAGTAGAAATTATTATAAGTTGGTATTGTGGGTGGGTAAATCGGTTAGATGTCGATATACCCCAAAACCTTAATCGATAAAACACATTTATTTTCTATATTAAACTAGTGAAGTTAATCTTTCGGCATATTTGGGCTGCTGCTGCGCTAGTGGCACTTAAAGTATGTCAAGAAAGTTTTTGGACACAGGAAAAGATTCAAGTTTTCTAATTTCTTTTGCAAAAAAAATTATTTTATTATTGACTTTTATTTCATTCTCCATTTTCAACTATTAAGTGGACTTATTTAAAGTATTAAAAAAAAAAAACACAAAATACATATATCAAAGGCTGATTGAAAGTTAAAATTAACCAAATAATTCGCTAGAATAATTAAAAACTTTTCGAAATCTGAATAATGCTAAGCAGTAATCAGTTAATATTATTGCTACATTTTTGCTTATGACACTAAAATTGGGTTTTCAAAAAAAGGTTAATGATTTCGCTTAATATGAAGAGAAGAAGCCAATGAAAAATGTTCGATGCGTTTTAATGAACTTCAAAGATGAGAAGGTTGGTCTATTGTTGGTTTTCTGTTAGAAATGCATATAAGTTCTCATTTCGAGCAGAGACGTGTGTCACAGAAAAGCGCAAAGCCATATACATATATATTAAACTGCAAGCACCTTCAGCTATGTGCAGGTCGGCACTTGTTTTGAGAATTAGCTATATCATAACGATTTTAATACATTAAAGATGTCATATCCAATCCCTGAAAGTACAAATATTTTTGAAAAGCTTCAGTATGCAAAGTAAAAAACAATCTTTATGAAACGTGAGACATCCGTATTTTTGCTGCATGATGTACATACGTCGAATTCTGCCGAAGCGGACTTCTATACTATATAGTTCACATAAGATCGGTATGTTTTATAAAATGCTAATGAAAGTTATAGCTGAGTAGATATTCGGGTTTCAGAAGTACAAAGATGCAGTTTTTCAATGTTTTAACATATTTTAATTGTGATTTTAATATTTTGAATAAAATACGTAAGTAAATATCTTCACATATAAGAGGTATATGGTAAACAAGCAAGTCTTTCCTAAAATATGATTAGATTCTAAGCATTTGGAGAAAAATTAACCATTTGAATAGTGTTTTTTTTTTACCCAATGTTTAATACAAATTTATTATATGTTACCTCAACTTAGTTCTTACGATTTCTTACAAATATATCATACTGTATATTTGGGATATGTAATCTTAAATAGTTTAAATTTAGGTACTGGGTTATTAACTTAATTTTTAAATATAATATGTTATATATTTTATAATAAAATTTAAATGAAATAATTGATTGGCTACAAGCCACTTTGGCGTCGTTACATTATATAAAGACTAAACCTGCATTACATCAAATATTTCTTATCAAATTTCTATGTACAAATCAGCCTCATGATACCTTTCGAAGTTGGGAAAGCTAGGCGTTTGATCATCTATAAATACATATAAAAGACAGAAATAGTAATTCGTTATTTTACATTACACAATAATTAATTTTTCAATTTATAGCTAACTTACCTTTTAATAATTGATTTAATTTCTCGAATAGAAGGTTAAAAACTATTTTATGCAACTTTTTTGATCTATGAAGGCTTTAAAAGGCAACATCGTGTAATTCAGGTGTCTTTGGCATAACTTTTACTGAAAGAGAGATTAATCCGATTATATATACATATATTATAAGCCTTTGAAAATTGAGAGATATGCCTTGAAATTTATTTTCAAAGCTATGGGAATTACAAACCTGATTCAAGGTCACTCCATTCACTGACTAAAGTATTGTGATAGTCCTGATGCGCATTAGAATATTCCTCGATCGACCCTTTATGTATTTGCAACTCATTGTTTGTCAAGTCATCGATATCAAAAATTTCAGTCACTTGAGCATTGTTGGTATTATTATCTGAGTAATAATAGGCATATAGAGTGTCGTTATGCGTGCTCATCTGAAGAACTTGATCGACATCGCTATCCAAAGGTGTAGCGCCACTGTGGAAGTGCTAAATGATTAGTACAATGACTTCCCCCAAATTGGCTTACAAATTTATTTACCATTCATCGACAATTATTGAAACTTGTGGTCCATACAAATGCTTGGAGTGCATCAGAGCAGTTGTGTCAAAATGCGGCTGATCGTAAAGCTGAAGAAGGTTGCATAAATTAATTGGATTGTGAAATGAATCTATATGTGTGGAAATGGGTTGAACTCTTTACTCACTGTGAATCTGTTGAGGAAACGAACATGCATAGTATTGTTTAGCTGTACAATAAACTCCTCAACTAGGTGTCGCATTTGTTTAGTCAGTTTTGGCGTTAAGGTCGTGAGCCTGCGCGAGAAAAAAAACAAATTATTAAAATTATTTAAAAATATTATGGTGGAATGGAGACAAATTTTGATTCTTGTAATTATGATAAGAAAGAATTATGTAGCCCTGCTATGAAATAATTTGAATCGATTAAGAAGGCTCTATATCTGATCGATTTTGATCGGTACTTGCGAAACGAAAATGTAAGATGAATTGAACACGCAAATTATTATTACTTTATAATCTCCTAGATTGGAGCGCTCATACAAAAGAACGGATAGACTGCTTAATCGCACATTCAGAAAAGAACAAGCGTCAATCAATGAAGATGTTAAAGAATGAAGTTATTTAAAAGATTCGATACCTTACAAAAAAGGAAGGGAATTAAGATGTCTCTCATTCACAGAGAAACGGGATCAAACGTACTTTGATATTGTGGCCAAAAAAAAGTCCATTGGTACAGTGGCTGGCAGCGAGAGCAATTTAACGCCGCGATGCTTGAAGATCCAATTGGCTAAACCTTTGTTTGCCTGTTCTATGTAGTCTTGAATGACATCGAGCACAGTCTCAGGCATGTTTGAGCTCAAAGCATCCTGTAAACGAAGCAAAAGGAGATGAGTTTATTTTATTCCCTACAATATAGCTTGCGAAACCAACCTTTCGATGCTTTTTGCATTCGTGACACTCTGCATCAAAGTCTTGCGGCACTGCAATGGTTTCGGATACCACAAATGTGGTCTGAACAGCTATGCAACGTCGACAATTGATTAAGTTGTTGCGATGCAGAAATTGCAGTGCATCATCGAATCCCTGTTGACAGAACGTTGAGAGGAACTCTGCCCTTGGCGGGAATAGAATGCGTACAAAGCGGTTAATATTTTGCCGTGAAATTTCGATACTTGTGTTGGCCCAGTTGAGATGAAATAGCTGCGAGCTCTGATCTCGCGGACAAATATCGCTTTCGCCACAGAAAGGGCTGACAGTAATTGTGTTTTCATCTAGGATGGGCAAGTTGTCCGAGAATGCACCGTCCATGTAACGCACACCCCGGAAGCGCGGAGGCAAAATTCCTGAGAAACCGGGAATAAAGCAGGCGCAGAGCAGGGCCTGGAGCACCTCTTCTCGAGACTCAAACTCCGAGATGATCACGTTTTGGCCGTCATAAACCCGCGTCAGCGAGATGTGCAAGCGACCACTGACCCGCTTATGTGCGTCAAGGGGCAGTTGCTTCTGGAGACCCTCCAGCAAGCAGGTCTGTATATTAAACGACGGACTGAAAGGCCCGAGCGAGTGCCGACGCGCCTCGTTTACCACCCGGAAGAAATCCGAAGTCATGGTATCTGTAAGAGGAAAAAAATAAAATATTCAAATATTCGAATTTGACTAATTTTTATTATCAGTTCTGCAAATATTGATAGTGTAGTAGGTGCTATGATCAAGAGCAGATAATTGATGTATGTAGATTACTCAATTAAATAAAACGACGTGTAAAAAAATAATATTTTTATTTGATTATTAGATAATCATCTAATTCACATAATCTCATTAGGTAAAAATTCTATGATATAGATCTGATAATCGGTATAATTTCTTTAAAATAAATTACAAAATATTGACAAGGGTACGAAATTAAATATTGTTAAGTTTTACAAAAATATCGTTGATTATTATTATTTTGTATTAGGTACAAAAGATTCCATATCAATTTATTTTCCAGTATATGTACGTACTACGTATTTTTATGGTTTTATTGTTATTTTGTTATTTGCACAAAAACAGAAAATATATGTTATAATATATATGCTTCACACAGATTTACGTAAATTCAATTCTCGTGTTAATGATTTAAGATGACTGGTCACCCAGTAGGAAATGACGTGAACACCTTCTTTTGATTAAAGTGTATAAAGAAATACTTTGGCCTTCACCAGGCATATATATATGTATATATATATATATAACCGATAAGGCACTATAAAAACTGATTCCTGTACATGTTAGTTGTGTTGTTGCTCTTTGTTTTTGAATGACATTTTATAGTTCGGCGTGTGGCAGCAGCTGTTTTTCTGAAATCGCCCGCTGATAAGAATTCCCCCCTATACTTATATATCTCGTGTGTATGCACTTCCTTTTGAATGTACCGCTATGGTACACACATACATACATATGTACATGTACGTGCTGGCCTTAGGCCTGAATCAGGCCACGGGCTCTGGCTAATGATTCAATGTGGCTCTAACGTAAAACTGATGAAGATGATGAGTTTTACACATATATAATATATAATATATTTTTAATGGATAGAATAGAAAATTACAATCTTGCACTCTAAATTAAAAGGGAATTAAATTATCATGCGATCTGGATTATATATAGATTGTTACGTTTCCATATGTAGTGGTGTAATAAGCACCACACAAACTGATTTGGTATTAAGCTGTCAGCAAATGAAATGAAAGTCGATAATATATCGATTAAGTCAATAAGGGATACAATATTTCAGATATATACATACATATGTAGGGTGAAATGTAGATACATATGGATATTTATAATGCATGAATCCCCCAGCCTTAAAGTAAATAAACACCTATTTGGTCGTCTACACAGGGTGTTTCTAATTCTTTCTTTCTTTGGAGAACCAAATAAAAAGCATTATTTGCCAAAACTTTATTTCTTTGTCTTTACAAATCCCTGGACTATTTAGATTATATTAGATTTAAATAAGTAAAAATCTAAAAACTTTTTTTAAGAAGCAACTTCAATTGTCTATTTTTATTTAGTTTGCTTAAACTCTTAATATAGTTGTGAAAACAAAGTTGTATAGAATTTTATGTTTAACAATTTGGTTTAAGTTATACAAAATCGACTTGGGAAGTTCAAATATAATTCACGGGGGAGTAAATTTCGTTTATTTTAGGGTGGTTTATTTGGGATTCGTTAGCATGGTTACATGTATGTATGTACATACATTTGTTTATATACATACATAAATACAAACAAAATTACATTTGCAAAAATTTGCTTATAGTGCTGTACTTTGAAATCATTTACTAGGTCAGTAGAACAGCTGCTCTTTGAGCCTAGCAGTATGTGTATGTACGCACATACTAAATATACAGATCTGTTATATATAATGTTATACAATGGCATAAAATATGTGTAAACTTTGCATTGAGTTTATTAAGATTAACAGCATTAAAATAAAATGTATTCTCTTTCTAATAGAATCGAAATAAACTCTTTAAAAGCTTTGGTATATACAGAAACACAAGCACACACACACACACACATATATATATATATTGCATATATATATGTATGTAGCATTGTCCACGCGTGTGAGTGAAAAAACCCTCACAAATCACAATGAAATTAACTGATAAGTTGCGTCACTGTGCAGAATACAGCTGCTGAAATATTGTAAATAACAACAAGTGTTATAAGTGTGTACACAAATACACACATAAATACTTCTGTATGCATGTGTGTGTGTGTGTATGCTGATAAACATATGCAAGGGCGTATAGGGGGTACTAGGCCCCCCATGACGACTGAAAATCTGATATATGAAAATAAGTTGAGCGGAACTTTCCTCACAAATATTGACTGAAATGTATTAAACGGGGCTATAATTAAAACAATTATTTCCCCTTTATGAAAAGCTGAGTACGCCCTTGTAAATAAGTATGTATTTCACATTCACACTATATGAATTCTAATCAAATAGGAAAGTCGCTCACTTTTGTTTCGCACAGCTGCTAAACATAGACCCAATGGAATTGACGTCAATTGAAGAGGCAATTGTAAATATATATATATACAATTATATATATATATACATATATATATATATACACCTATATTTCTATATATGAATATGAATATCAGAAAATGGAAATCCTAATTGAATTGTTAACTGCGCCAAAAAGTTAACATTTGCAAAATATGGAAGAGTGTATATCGTTTAAGTGCACATTTCGTGTTATTGTTATCAATTGTCTCAAAGTTCAAAGCAACTCATTAGTGGCAAAAAAAAACAAGACAAAACAAATTATTCTATCGATTGCACTTCACAATTGAGTGTTTGTGTGTGAGTGTGTGCGCGCGTGTAGGTAGGTATTTGTTGTTACACCTCCTCCTCTGCCTTCAGCGCAATTAAAGGGAAACAGGTGCACTTACACTCTTCACACCATTTGCAATGAATCATTCATTCTACCTGACTGACGACCACCGAACTTTCTACTGTTTTCACGGCCTCAGCGGAAACAGGTAGATGCTGTATGTATGTATGTACAGCAGCGGTCAAAATAATAGTAGTAGTGCACACATATGTTTTGGCAAATGTTAAGAAAATAGTATAGTGAAAAATTATAAAAATTTGTATTTTAAAACAAGCAATCAATACTAAAGATGAGTAAACATTGAAAGATGTGATAGCTATAAGAAAATTTCAGTTCTTCACTTGATCACAAAAGTGGAATTGTATCGAAGCTTTCTTTTCGTTAAATGTTGAGATTTTTAAGACGTTTCTATATTTAGCAGTGCAATTTTTGTCACGCCCCATTTTATCACCATAAAATGAGTAATTTTTCAATGGAACGATCTTAAATAGGTACATAATTAATAAACTCGTTACGTTTTAAGTATTTCGACTGTTTTCACCAGCACTACTATTATTTTTACCGCAACTGTATGTTTGTATGTATGTAAGTGTGTGTTTATATACTTTTAGGTCGCACTGTAGAAGAAGAGACTTGTTTTCAATGGATGCTAATAAAGCTGGCCATCGATCAACCGTCGGATTTAATTTGAACATTTCTATGCATGCTGCTTTTGCCTACATACACACATAAATTTCAAAAGCTTTTGGTATCTTTGAAATTGTATGTATAACCTTTTTACATGCATGTTTATGGCAAAGCTGAAATAAATAAAAAAAAAAGGAACGTGCCCCCAAAAATAAATAATTCCGACCTTCACAAAATAAATAAATGAATGCAAACACAGCTTGCCCAAATCTATTTTTGGGCCTATTACATATATATATATATATACGCACACACTCGGACACACATGGACATATGTGTAAACGAGTATTTTTGTTTTTGTTTACATCGAGCATTGTATTTTTATAGTGTGCGTTTGACGAGCGACGAGCCCCCAAAAAATGGGAGTGTTCGCAGCTGGGAAAACGGAAATGAGTTAAAAGTCTGCTGTTGTTTAGATGTGTGTAAATGTGTACAAATAGATATGAAGTTAGTTTTGTGGATTCCAATCCAGTTGTGAACTAATTCATTGCATTAATAAATTAATTATTAATTGCTTACCCAGTGGCAAATCGCAGAGCAGGCAACATGCTGCCAGGGAGCCAGCGGAGGCGCCTCCAATTTTCTCTAGAAGCAAATGAGGGGCGTACTTTCTAAATGAAACAGCAACGCCGACATGATAGATTCCAAGGAAACCACAGCCAGCAAAAGATAAATTCATTTTCTATCGTCCTGTTTACGGTGCTTTAAATGTGTTTTGATAAATATCTTTTATTTGTTGTGCTTTCCAACTAGACAGTTTTTTATGGGAAATATGCACAAATATATTGTTTATTTTTTATTATCTATTTGTTCTTATTTCAAATAATTTTCTTTTCAAGTTTAAGCTTCAGTTTTTTATAGGAAATATGTCGTTTATTTGTTATTTGTTTTCTTATTTCAAATAATTTTCGTTTCAAGTTTGAGCTTTACTGCATTTGTTTTTTTTTTTATTTGTTTCCAGTCACAACCAACACGAACCGTTACTCGCAATTGCTTCAATAACAATGAGTTAATCAAATTGGTTGCCACTATCGACAACTCAGCTGGTATCGATTATTCTAGATTTTTAGTATTTCGGCATTTTTTAGTACATTAACACGATATTACGATTATTTAGGGAATATTCACTATGAATGCAACACAAATTTCAATCTAGCATTAATAATTTGCAATATACGCAAACAGTTTCCAGTTCATATTTGTAGTTGTTATTGATAAACTTGATTAAAATAAAGGCACATGTTTCAGATGTTGGTGGAAGAACTGTGTCGATGACCAATGCTTTTTAAATTTGTTCGCCTTTCAACAGCTATATAGCAGGAGATGCAAAGTAAAGTGGCAAAAAACATTAAATAAATACTATTATTTATTTATTAATTTAGAATAGTTTATTTATTTTTTTATGTTGTATTTCACAAATCTTGGAACTTAAATGTGCTCATAGACACAATATTGTTACATCGCCTAAAATTTATTTATATTTGATATTCGAAGAAGTCTATACAATATAAAATATCCCAATATGTATGTAAACTAATTATAAAATATAAGTTGACAGCCGTGAGACACAAATACATTATTCCAAATATTTGCTTGTATGTGCAAAGTCTTCTCAAATTTAACTAAATGCATAAAGTCACTAATTCTTAAAAAATGGTAAAAGTTAACGAAAAAAAAAAACAGTTGGATAACATTTTTTCTTGTCTTCCTGTGTAAATATGCAACGAGTCGTTGATAAGTCCACGCGGAACGCCGTATGATATTTGCTAGGCATTTTTGTTCCTGTTATATTAATTTATAATCGCATTTGAACCAAATCCATTAAATATTGTCCGTCAGTTGGAAAATGTATTTAAATATATGTAACCGATAATGTTGATAGTATTCGATATTTATCTAAAGTTGTGATCGATAGTTCACTAATCACAAGTATAGTTACTCATTTTGCAATGCTTCCATTTCGAACCTTATTGCTATTACTTATTTTATTTTTAAATAGTGTTTCTTTCCGCTATTACAAGAGAATTCCTTGCGCCATATTATGTGAAAATAAGACAATTCCCAACTCACTTAGGCTTTATCTACCTACGTATATTCAAACCAATAATTTCGTTTTGCACATCTAAAAACGTAGTATAATAATCAAAAAATTATGTTTAAACAGGATAAATTTGGGTTATTAAACGCATTTCATTTAATTTTCTAGACCATTCGTGCAATTATTTGATCCTTAACAATTTTCCAACACAGTGGCAACATTCAACAAGTGTAATTTGGATGGAGAAAATACAACTCTGAGTGTCACGAATATTGCATAAAGTTTCACAACTTCGTTAGAATTTACCACTTGAGTCTCTTTAAAAGCCGGTTTCCATTTCGATTACCTCAAACTGTTAATAGCAACATGCTAACGAGGACCGTGCTAATTCCCACATTGGGTCGGCGTGCATCGAATTGGCTGACGCAACGCTCCTTCAACAGTACGCAAATCCTAAGGCAGACAATCAAAAATCATGAGCCAAATAATCTGGAAAAGCGTTTTCTCGTCTGGAGCGGAAAATACAAGTCAACAGCTGATGTGCCCGGCTTCGTAAGGTATGCTAATTGTCTAGTTCAATGAATTGTTCAATAGTTAATTCTGAGTTATTGCAGTCAGGAGGAGATGGAGCGTTGCCGTAACAAGATGCGCATCCGATTGGCAAATGTAATGATCGGCTTAACTATCGTCGGATGTGGCATTATGGTCTACAGTGGCAAGCAGGCGGCCAAGCGAGGCGAATCTGTCACAAAGCAAAATCTGGAATGGCACAACCAGTTCAAAGAGTCCCCCGCCAAATAATCCACAACAATACAAGAATACACATAAGCAGCAATACTGTTAAAAGGAAAATGTAAAAGCTTTTTGTTATTTTCTGTACAACTCGGTGGTTGCCTTATAACAGTGATATTTTGAATTCATACTCTTATCCCCCACGGTCTGATTACCATTTGCGAACTCTTAATAGCAGCTGCAATGCAATAAATATTTACTCAAATATTATTTATTAAATGAAGGATGCAACTCAGAGACGACCCAAAAATATAATTTGCAAATTCAAATCACCTCTGACAACGACATATATATATATTCTGTCCGTCTGTACCGAATACTGCGATTTCAGAGAAAATTAAAAATTTGTTTCCGCTTACCGTTTATCCAATATCGTTACTTTTAAAATAAATATGTAGAATTTTAAAAGATAGGTTTGTTATTGAGTATGAATAAGCTTTGTTGCGAAATTGAGCATTTATAAAGAATCATTAATGAAAATCGTATATTCATATTTACCAAATTCTTATAATTAATTTGGGGTGTATTTAATACAATTTCATTAACTGCATACAACCTCGACCCACTGTAATTTAGCGGAAACATTATCAACAGGGACCACCACTTGCGCCAGCTGAAAATACGCCTGCGTTGAGAGAGAGGGAGCGAGAGTGCGCGTCCCGGATTGCCAACCATAGAGAAAGAAGAAAGACAGCGAAAGAGAGAGGGAGAGAGAGAAATTAACTTACACATGGCACTGGGCTGGCGGCTACGTAGGAGGCGCAGATGGGTGCAGCAGTAGCAACCCTGCCGCCGCTCTTCTGCTGCTGCGCGCTTTTCACTTTCCGTTCGTTCAGTTTGTCGAGAACGTTTGAACGCAACGGGGCTTTGGGAATCGTGCGTGCACGCAAAAAGCTAAGCAAAAAAAAAAGAAAAATTTCAAATTGCAAGCATAACGCTGAGTAAAAAGAAATGTGCGCAAAAATAGTGTAAAAATATAAAAGCCAAAAGCAGCACACAGAAAAAAATGTGCGGGCAGCGTGAAAAAAGCTAAAAGGAGAGCAGCAAGTGGAGCAAAATGTAAACTACACACGCACACTCACACAGATCACATATGTAAGTGTAAGTGTAAGCGTGTGTGTGTGTGTGTGTGGCATAACAATGACCACAGACACTAAGACAAAAGGCAAGAATTACAACAAAAAGTCGCCGTGAAATATTCATTAACTAATTCAACTTAAAACATGCAACGGAAAATCCATAATAAAGAAAATGAGACGTGCAATTTACTTTTTTTCCTTCTTTCATAAGCATAAGTGTGTGTGTGTATATGAATTTACGTCTGTGTGGGTGAGATAGAGTTTGTGAGCGTGTGTGTATGTGTGAGACATTCGTTTGCTTTTTGATTTGTGAAAATGTGAAAATGTGTGTATCCGCACGAATGTTTTTGTTGTTGCTCGTCGCTCGTCGTCTCGTGTAGTCACCTAAAAAAGCAATAAAAAAAGGAACACAAAATTGTCCTTGTACGAAAATGATGTTAAAATTGGAAATGCTATTCACGCTTCGTTGCATGCCACATAACAACAACAAGTTGCTGGCCTAATTAATGTGTTGCAGCCGCTTTTAAGTTAAATGTGCATCACTAACAAAAAGCCATTCAAAAAAAGAAAAAAACTAACGGTGACGGCCGCTGTTCTCTTCTATTCTCCTCTGAAAGTGAAGGTCGTCTGTAGGAGAGAAAGAGCGCACAGTATCAGCAACCAGCAGCAGCAGCTAAGTCCAAACAGTCCATTTGCTGGCGCAAATGTGCGAAAAATCCTTGGCTTGGTTTTTGGCGCAACAACAAAGCCACATTAATAACCATACACATACACTCTTACGTACTTACATAAATACAAGCATACATGCGTATAGCAGAGTTTCATATACGTACATCGGTTTGCATGCACGTGTTTGTGTGCGCGAGTGTAGGTGTGTGTGTGTGTGTGCGTGTTAATGACGCGCTTAATGCACAGCAGCTGCTGCTTCTGTAACTGCGTTCATCCTTTTACTTTTTGCTGCTACTGTTACTGTTACTTACTGTAAACAGAGATGCACTTAAATTTAAATTATAGTTGTTTTGCTCTAGTTTTCAAGGATTTTTAGCATCATCCCTGTGTGCATTGTTTATCATAATTTTAGTTTTATTTTAATCAACGAAACGTTAGTTTTTATGACTATTTGTACTATTTTCGGCATAAATCACAGATGACGTTTGTTTACAAACAGTGGCGGCTCAAAATCTGTGAACAACCTTGAATATTTATATTTTGAACCGAGCCACTCAAAACGCAAACAAACAAAAATGTGCTCTTGTTTTTGAAAAATGTACACAATTCTTAGCATTATGTGTGCTGAAGAATTTAGTTGATTGAAATTTTCCTTATTACCACCGGCAGAGAATATCTGACATATTATAAACATATATTATATTATAGTAGTAGTTTTATTTATTTTGCATTTTTATTGTAAAGCTTGAGTTTGATTGGCAACTCTGGCATATACATCATATATATGTATGTAAGTACCTATTTGTGGACATACATCCCTACAGAGCTATGTATATATGTGTATTTGTGTGCATGTGTATATTTGCAAATATAATCACATTTCACGCTTGAAGAGCTTAGCGGGCCTACATAAATTACGCCATTGCCTTAACACACCGTAAACACACACAGACACACACATGTACATACATATATCCTGGATATATCCTAGTTGGGGTCACTTGCACGTTCTTGTTTCGGTCTGTCGCCATCATTTTTTGGTGCTGCTGATTACCATTATTGATAGGCACATTTCTCTAAAGTCAAGCTGATTGTAAAAGAGAATCAATTGCACATGATTCGGGTATTTCCTATAGGCAGAAAGACAGCCTAAATTTTAGTAATCGCCCTACGTTTTATAAACAATTTCTAAATATTTGCAAAATAAATGTCAGTCAATTAGAAATGCTTGCCCTAAATCGATAATCCCAAAAAATTAAGAAATGATAATGTTAGAGTTCTTTGTTCTTTTTCTTTGAGAAATTAAAATTAAATATATTTTTTTCTTCTAAATTATAAAAATATTACCAGAGAATTAAGACAACTAAAACCTTAATTTTTGGGAATATTCTTTCTGAATAAAATGTGATACAAAATTCAAGAAACTTTTTTTATGAGTGGAGCTTTGCCAGCTAGCTTAAAGCATCCGAAATGGCCTGATTGCCTTTTACAAGTAAATCATCTTTAGCTAGCAGTCGCTTGATTCACATTTTTCCCCAAGGACTTTTTTACCGTTTTGCCTTGTTCAATAAGGCGTGTACACAATGTCTTAAATTAATAATTAGTATGCACAGGATGAGCCAAAAGTGGATGCAAGCCAAACAAACTTCGGGTAAATTGGAGAAATTTAGCAGCTGATTTGAAATGGAAATCTATTTTCCAAATGCGTTCAATTTAATTTGTTACATCGTTCTGAATAAATTATTCTTTTTGTTTCTGGTTTCAGCCCAGAATCGTATTTGCCTATGAGTCCAACTCACCAAAAGCTAAGCTATCAACGAAGGCTGTTTTGCATAATGTATTGTAATAATTTACCGGCGTGTTTTACATACAAACTTTGAACACATCTTGTTTTACCGGGTCGACTTTTCGTAGGAAAAACTGTTTTATTCATAAGATTGTTATTACTATTTATTTAATGTCACCTAAAGTCGGTCGACACAGGAAATACAAAAAGTAAAAAATGGATTAGATTAAATTAAAAATATAATTTGATATTAAATGTATACTAAAAAATAACGAAGTATTTATAATATTTAAAATATACAGATAGTTAAAATTAATTGAATGCCCAGTTACAAGCAATAATTTGAATCTTATTATTTTTATTTTTTTTTTTGGTTGGTCTGATTGGGTTTTTTCTGGGGTTTCCACAATTCATGCAACAAATTTTGAACCATTTGGTTTCAAATACCCCCAAATATCCTTTAAATATTTCTTTTTTTTTTAATTTACATATAACTTTAAATTGTATTTTAAATATAATTTAATTCAATTTGTTACTTTTTGCCTTTTTGGTGTCGGCTGACTTAAGTTGACATAAAATAAATACATAAATACAAAAATATATATAAATAAAAATTTGGATTAGATGTTGTTCTGTAAATAATTTATTGAATTCGATTGATAGAAACATTAATACTCCTCAAATATTTTTTCTACACTAAATCAACAATCTAAATTCGGTCAATGAGCAATATCCCCGCTTGAAGCAAACAAGCACCTCACATTACATGTAGAAGAACCCATCTTGGTTGAGATGACTGTCTACCTGGTAGAGAAATGGATACATAAGCGCTTCTTAAGTAGCAGCCCCGACTCAAAATTATAAAATGCTCATAAGTCGCAGGAACAAACAGCAAAGCGTTTTTTATGTTGAAGGAGACGCCAACAACGATGACGAAGCGACCCCAACCAAATTAACCACCCACAATCAAGAGTCCTTCCCCACCCTCTTCCCTGGGTTCTTTGGAGCAGGCGCAGACTCGGCTTTTCTCTCGCTGTGGCCTGTGTCTGCTCTCTGGGTCTATGCCTGCATTTGGGTAACTTTCAATACTTTTCATTTTTCGAATGCTACCAACGCAGACTGAAGACCCAATAATTAAAACACAGACAAAAATTGCTTGTAAACAAAATCGGTAACGTCAACAACAACAACAAGCGGACATTTTGGTGTGTGGCTATCGTGTGTACTTTTTTCCGTTATTGTTTAAATATAGAATACAACTTAATGTAAACAATGTATTTGTAAACGTTTGGCCCATAAAAATACAAACTGGAAATGCACAAACATTAAAATGCGTTTATGATCCCAAAGGCATCTTAAGTTTCACTTTAACGTTGCAACGTTCCATATTTTTATATATATTCTTTACTTTAGTCGCCGAGGCGACTACGATAATTATGTTGATTGTTTCCGACTTTTTGCTACAGCCAATAGTTCATGTGGCGGAACTATCTATCGAAAGATGAATACTTAAATAAACACATTTTTTATATCCCATACAAACCGCAACTTATTAAATTGCGCCCAAAAAATTATCGACATCAGTTTTTTAGTTAAATAAATACTTATATGTAGATGATATCCGGTGGACGCCGGCTTGCATGCCTTTTTTATGGCTGTATGGTGAAAAGAGAGAAAGCAGACAGGCGAAAAGAGAGAGAGAGAGAGAGAGAGAGAGAGAGACAGAGAAAGAGAGAGAAAGATAGAGGGAAAGACTAACTAAAAGAGTATGAGGGAGGGAGTTTGTCTTTAAGCATAAGTCAACTCTCAATGGGGCTCGTAAATTGGTTCATCGCAAAAAAACAGGATTTCCGTAGATTTTACGTGTATTTTGTACATTAATACCCACTCGCCGGAGCGGATGTGGGTAAGGTGATAAGGGGGTCTGCAGTGCTTAACAGTCAAAAAATCATACAAAAAACAGCGTTTCTGCACGCTAACAAAAATTGGATAAATATGAAAAAGGAAAATATAAATAATTGAATAAAATTCTAGTTATACCTTAAATGTACAATTTATTTATTTATGTTTGAAAGTCAAGAGTATTTTTATAAATTTGATACAATCTACAAGAAAACAAATATCAATATTTTAATATTAATTATTAATTTACTATATATATAGTAATTAAAATTACAATTAAATTCAAGGTATGTACTTGCAGACCGGAACTCAACTGTTCATATATAAAATCAAAATAAATTCAATTCTTCCAACTTGTGCCAAAGTTGAATGATAATAAATATACTCAGCACTGTTGCGCTTTATTTAGATATCTTGGCATAACAAAATCGATCAATACAAATTATCATCTTTCAGTCAAAGTTTCCATGTCAGCTATGTACATATTTTATGTAGATATTAAAATTGCTCGAAAACCGAAAGACTAATTGGCAAAGAAACAGCCAACAGAGGGACATATCGACTATATATCGACTCGGCAATTGATGTTAATCAGGAATATATATTGACATACATATATGTATTGTCTGTTGTAATAAGATTAAGGAATTTAATGAAGATTTCGT